GAAAAGAAAAAAATTTAAAATATAAAAAGCCTATTTGCTACAGATGCCATTAATTAAAATATCAAAAAAATTTAATTGATTAATAATCTGAAATTTCTAGATAGAATCAATAAGAGTAAAACTAGTAGAGCAATCTCTCTGATGATGAAAATGAAGATCACTAACAAGAATTAGAGATGACTGATTTTGAAAAAGGTGATCTTTTAGCTACAAAAGATCCATCAGAATTTTTGAAAAAAGCCTTTAAGTTGGTAAAGCGTAATTCAACTATTATATTTGTCGTAGATGCCACTGATTTATTTGCAACTCTCAACACTTCTATTGTCGACTATGCTTTTGCTTAAAACCATAAAATCATATTAGCTGTTAATAAAATTGATGCTCTTCCTCCAAATAATGTCTAGTTTAACCAATTAAAAAGTGTTGTTAAGAAATGCATTTTAGAAAAATATCCAATAATATTCTTAATTAATAAAGCTTACCTAAGTAGTGTTGAAGTTTTTTGATAAACCTTCTATATTTTAAAAATGCAGCGTTCTATTCGTTTTCAAATAAATCGAAGGAAGAATAGTAATATGTCAAAGAATTAGAAGATCCAAATCCATTTGAACCATCTAAATTATTATTTTATTTCGAAGCTGTAGAATTTTCATTTGTTGAAAGTTAATCAGAATTGTCCTAATTATATATTTGTTAAGATTGTTTATCTGTAGATAGTTCTTCCTCCATTTAATTTATATTTTGTTCAACTTTTTTTCTGTATTATCTTTACTCCTAAATGGATTACACTAAAAAGCTGTAGTTTTAAAACTTTTCCCTTAAATAATCTTTATTACTGACTTTGAAAATACCAAACTTTAGTGAATTTTTTTGCTATTCTAGCCAATTTTGTTGTAAAAATATTTATTAAATAGCTAAGACTTTAATTTATTATTAATTATTAATATGAATTAGCAAGAAGTTTATTTATTACTTTGATTTATATATTTCTTATTTTATTTTTTGATTTAACAAACAAACAAAAAAATACATAAACAACTAAATGAATCAATGAATGAATATACTCTTTAATTAATTTACTTTCTTTATTTTTCTATTAAGAAATTTTTGATGTCTTCATTAGCATGATTTTA